CAAATCTGGTTGAACTCCACTGGTAACGACTTCTCACTAGAACTCCAGAAGTGTCTTATACTTCATTACTATCTAACATGAAAGTGTTTTGTTTTAAACCAGTTGTTAAGAAATTATGAATTTCCTGTAAAATAAATTCAGTTATAGATAGCATTCATTGACAAAATATGATCAAAATCTTAAAGAGACTAATGTTTAATATGATTACTGCCTTCTGAGCCTTAACCATCTAAAGTTAAATATAGTGTACAACAATCGTTGATCATTCGACCAATACTTACTTACTTACACCTGTTACTCCTAATGGAGTATAGGCCGCCAACCAGCATTCTTCAATACACTCTATCCTGGCCCTTCCTTTCCAGTTCTATCCAATTTCTGTTCATCTTTTTCATGTCTATTTCCATTTCCCGGCGCAATGTGTTCTTTGTTCTTCCTCTCCTCCTTTGGCCTTCAGGATTCCATGTGAGGGCTTGTCTTGTGACGCAGTTGAGTGCCTTCCTCAATGTATGTCCTATCCACTTCCGGCGCTTCTTCCTGATTTCTTCCTCCGCTGTGATCTGCTTTGTTCTCTCACACAGTACGTTGTTGCTAATAGTGTCCGGCCAACGGATCTGAAGTATTTTGCGTAGACAACTGTTATTAAACATCTGTATTTTCTGGATGATTGCTTTCGTAGTTCTCCATGTTTCCACCCCATACAGTAGAACTGTTTTGACATTTGTATTGAAAATCCTGACCTTGGTGTTGGTTGACAGTTGTTTTGAGTTTCAGATGTTCTTCAATTGTGGATATGCTGCTCTTGTTTTGCTGATCCGAGCCTTCACATCTGCATCAGATCCACCATGTTCATCAATGATACTGCCCAAATATGTAAAGGTTTTTACACCTCCCAAATCTTCTACGTCAATTGTGATTGGATTGGTGCATGCTGTGTTGTATCGGAGAACCTTGCTCTTCCCTTTGTGTAAATTGAGACCTATTGCTGCTGAGGCTGCTGCTACACTGGTCGTCTTATCCTGCATTTGTTGTTGCGTTTGGGATAGAAGGACCAGATCATCTGTGAAGTCTAGATCGTCCAGCCGCATCCTAAATGTCCATTGTATTCCGTGTTTCCCTTCAGATGTTGACGTCTTCATGATCCATTCGACCAATAGGTGGATTATAAATTGATGGATGAAACTCAGTCGGGGACTAAATGGTATTAGATTGTTTGATATTCTGGAATCAATTACTTTCAGTGTTTTTGAAGTAAACAAAACCAATTCTTTTAAAATACACATTAGTTTGAAGCTATTTTATCATTTAAAACCACTTAATTTCTTAAGACATGATTTCTTTATCATATTACATGACTTCACCTATGTAGATCATACACAAAATCATTTTAGGGGTTCATCTGAATATTGTAAATGATTTGATAAATAACATAGATACCAGAATAGAGACACTATTCAATCAGATAGTTGCTAGTGGAACTCTTAGTTTATTTATTAATTCAAAATACAAGCTCTTGGTTCATAGTACTTATTACCAGTTTTAGAATTAGCTTGAACAGTGAGTGATGTGTTATTTATATTTGAGCATGATATTAAACTTTCGAATGTGATGCTACTAATAAACAAAATTATTTTCTAATATACAGCGACTTTTGATGGTTAAAAGAACTTTCATTTGGTTATAGATTTATTTTATAATAGATTGTTGCAAGAAACACTGAGTTTTTTATTTGAATCTCAAAAGGAAAGGTGATATAAATTTATCGTGATTTTGAAGTGTGTATATATACAGCTTCCATTTTTCCACTTTCAATCATATTCCTTGAAACTATTACCAAAAACCAAACAAACAAATTGAACTGGTGTCACCTGAGACCCAGTAATATAATCAATTCATTGATCTATAACTTAAAATTTGGTTGAAACGGTAATAGAGTATCAATAGGATTGCACGTATTACAATTTATTGGGGTAAATTTAGGTAAAACACCAATAAAATTATAAGTGACAAATGGGTGAGTAGATGTATGGCTTTACCTTATTGACTGACTTTGGTTAGATGATCATCGAAAATCAGGATGTACTGGACAGATCTTCATTTTTATGTGAGACTATTCAGTGACATACATACACGAATAAACCAACGGTCGAACCCATAATCTTGATTGATCCTTTTAAGCACTCTGCCCTCTTATCATTCTATTATGATCCAATAGTCACCCAATTCTTGACATGGTGCGACCATCATTTATTGATATTAGTAATATTTGTCTTCCCCCCGACATGTTAAAATTTTAATGGTCATGGTTTCCAACTAGAACTCAGAGAATTACCCTACATAGTAGGTCACGTGGTGATTCCTTAGTATAATGGATTCTCAATATTTTCACAACCAAGGAAAACCTACCTCAGAAAGAGAAATAGAGCTAAGAAAAGTTATGGGAATAACGAAATGTTCTGAAAAATGGATTAAAAAGTCAAGTAAACGAAATAACATGTAAACGTCACTCTATGTATATTGAAATTGTCCATATTACAGAAATACATCAGTTGGAGGACCAGTGAAAGCCAAGAAGAACTACATATATGTTGTGGCCATATCTAGAGCTTCTCAGAATTGATCAAACCCAAATTTTCGAGTAAAAGTGTCATTAAGAATGATGGCGAATATGTCATTTTCAACAAAAATTTATTTTTGTCTAACTTCTTGAACACACTCTCAGCTTTACTAATAATTTTTATAACCAATAAAATCCTAAAGTGATCAGATGATCAAAGCTTTACGAAGATGAGAGGAAATGTACATTCGTTCGATTGATCTCCTCTTGGTTCAGTAAAAAATAAAATAAATACTTAGATATTTTAAAGGATTGGGAAAGTATGTATCGGTGACAAAAAGAACAGATTTAGTTTTCAACTTGTTAAATACTTACAATGGTTTCAGACTGCCACCAAAAAAAACATACCACATAACAAAAGAAAACTACGAAATGAAGTAGTCCTAACCAGACTGCCATTTCAAATGGGTCGATTTAAAGAAGCGATATTTGTAAACCAACAATCAATTAATATGGTTGACATATTGTGTGAGTAGAACAAATACCCAATCTCCATGTTTACATTTTCAGTCTGTCATTTCCTCTCTATCTTGTTATTTTGTTAAAGAGAAGAAGAACAAAGATTGGTTCAGAATAATATGAGTTCATTTTATTTCATTAGGTTCTCATCAGCTGCTTACAACCTAAAATATTAATATTATTCTGCACCAATCTTTGTTCTTGCTTTCTTTAAGATAATAAAGGGAACTTCTAAAATTTCACAGATGGATTATTTATATCAAACTGCACAAGAATTGAAAAGTGAAGAAAAAAGTGTTTAATTGATCCTTTATTGAACGGTTTCGATTCATTGGTCTACCTCGTCTTCTATCTACGTCTAATAAAGTTTTAATTTAAGTTTATTTACTTTCTAGGCCTACTGCTTATCAGATAACGAGTGTTTATTAATGGGTTTTTATTACACAAAATGAATTTATTTTTCATTTGGTATTTATACTACTTTATAACATTATGTAATAATATAAGGCAGTTATCATACTTTTTCATCCGCTAAAATATTTTAGATGTGATCAAAACATATTAAAATAATTAGACAGATTTAATCAGTAAATTAAAAAAAAAACAATCTTTGTGGGAATCCAGCAGGCAGATATTTGCTTGTATAGAGATAATGAATTTTGACTACATTTGCAAATAATATTTATCATTATTCATATCTTAAAGTCTCATTTCATCAGTACGGTATTTGCTTTCATGATATATATATATATATATATATATATATATATATATATATATATATATATATATATATATATATATATATATATATATATATATATATCTTTATGGTAATGATAATAAAACAAACTACTGATTATTTCGATACTACTGATACTTATGCTTTACATAATTTCATGATCAAATGTTTACTATAGAAAAAAAAAACGGATTCTTCATGAAACCCAAATCTCTGTGATACGCTTACTATGAAGATGATCACTGTAACGATAATTTGAATCAAGATACGACAGCTTTTTACTCTGTTAAACCTGACTACTACAAAAGACGATACAGTTACACTGAAGATCAAATAAACTGAGTGAATTAGTAATTATAAAATCTAAAAAAAAACTGAATACTGAAAATTAACAAACAAAAATCACATTACTCCAATAGGTGGATTTTAAAAATGACCGTTTTCAAATTTGTAGTGTTCACCCGAACAACGGCGTGCTGTAAAAATGTCGAGTTAGACACTTTTATAACTATTGAAGAACTGTTCACTTTCAGGCGGCCAGAACACTCCATTTATTCAGTTTACAGGGTTCACTTAATGAACGATTTGTTAAACGTGATGTCCAGGAAGGGTTCAATATCATGACGTATCATTTCTAATATTTGTCTATTTATTATTCTAATCGAGACCAATTAAACTTAAAAGACATGTTCAAGTACAGCCAAGCAATAAATCCGATGTTGAAATCCAATCGATCAAATTGTATTTGAATCACTCCAAATTACACCACGTTGGAGTATTTTTTCTATTTGATGCTAGGTGGTTGAAGGCATGGGAAGGGAACACAGGCTGCGCGTTAATTGTGAGTACATCTCGCATACAAATATCAGCTATATTTAAACCAGGATTTAAAGTATTTAAAAGTTTGTCATAATTGATAATTCGTAAAACCTTGTGATTTAGCAACACTTATCTCATCAAAACAACTTTGATGTCGTCTGATTGTTTAAGAAATAAGTTTACTGCTAAAAACTGAGAAATAAACTACTAGTTTTGCTGTGAATAAGATGAAGACCAAAAAAGGATATGCAAATGAACAAAAATCTAGAAACATCAAAGCGGTAGTTTTTACAAAAAGAATAATAAATAAATAACAACCAAGTTGGTCATCACAGTATTCTGTTACATTTAAAATAACGTAGTTCATTTTGTGTACGTGTATTGTCTGGCAAAATTCTTTTGACGAATTTCTTTAATTTTGGCATTGATTTGTTTGTAGTCATCTTCACGTACATCAGTGAATGTTTTCTGAGTAATATCATCTGAATTTCCGAAACGCATTTTAATAACATTGTCATCTCTAGGCTCTGAATATAAATTAAACCACACATGTTTATTTAACCAATCAATCGGATTTTCTAACGTCTCTTGATTACCATTAGTAGGAAAGGTAATTTTAGTAGTTGAAGCATTACGGGCTCTCTGACATGCAGCACATTTGTTTTCATTCATTATTCTTCGTAAATTCTTAAGTAAAGACAGTTCACATTCTTTAGAATTCGCAACTTTTACCAAATCAATATATTTTGGTGTGAGACGATGAATTAATGGACCGAGTTGTTCATTAACTTGACTGAGGAATCGATTATGTACAATAGTTTGATACCACATTGGATATATAGACCATTTACCGTTTGTTCTTTGACACAATGCCCAGTCACTTAAATTCAAATAAACGAAAATTAATATATCATTCCACGAATGCTTAGTATGATTTGATTGGTAATGAACTAGTGCACGTGTCATGTAAAATTCTGATTGAAATGGTGCTAAACGAATACAGCGATCTAAATAATTTATTGCATTTAACCAGTCACTTTGTTTAATTCTACTTTTACTTAACTGGTAACAAGCTAAGCAGATTCTTGCATTGATTGAATTAATACTTTCGGGAATTTTCATCACATTGTTATCACAAATGCAATGATTAGAATCGGTCAATAGTTTACTAATTATTGACTTTGCGTTTTCATATTCTTCAAGTGCTTTTTCATAATTATTCAGAAAATATTGACAATCAGCAGATAAAATCAATAATCTATAATTTTTGGGATCCACTTCCAAGAGTTGACGAGTTAATTCATTTAATTCTTGGTATTTCTCTTGTTTCAATAGTCTTATTGCATAAGAGTTCATTGTAAGGAATAATTGATTTCTCCCTAATTGGTACAGATCAGTTGAGTTCTTCTTATTCGTATCATTCCATGTATTGAATAAATTTATTCCTTGCATAATACAATCTAAAGACTCGGTTAATCTGTCAAGTTTCCTTAGGATTGCTCCTTTATCAAAATATAATGAAATATTCTCTGGTTGGGCATAAATCGCTATAGTGATTGAATGTAATGAATCAAAGAAACGATTTTTCAACATTAATTCAACAGCTTCCTCTTGTTTATTGGAGGATATAGTTTCAAGTTGATGCAATAAGTTGTAGCTTTCTGAATGATTTGGGCAATAACGTAATGCTTTTTTCAAATCATAATAAGCTTGTATTATTGACTGACCATGTTGTTTCGATAATAGGTTAGCTCGTGCATACAGTAGATCGGATAACTCTTTTAGAAGAAAAAATTATTTGTTATTAGTAGTATATCAAGTGAATAACTAATTTTATCACAATTATTTATTTGAAATATTGAGCTAAAGTGTCAGGAAAAATGAAGACATTTCACACAGAATTATCGACAGTAAATGACCGAAATTCTTAAAGATAACAAGTAGAATAAATGAATCACACCATGAGAAGCTGGCGAATTTCATTATTTACTTGGCTTACCTAATAATAAGTAGGTTCTATATTTACTGATTTTATATGATTCAACATGAAGAGAATATTTCTCAGAGTTCCTAGAAAAGATTTCATAAGCTTATACTTCTTTACTTTCAAACAGACGTAGGTATGGACAAGCCGAATTAATATAGGTATCTATAGATAAAAGTTTTGTTCCAGGCTGTAGTACAATAAGAGACAATTATTCAAATAAGTAAGAATAAAAAGGTTGGATTTGGAATAAGTATAGAATGGTGAAGTGATCCGAATCGAAAAGACAAGTAATGAAGTAAATATGCACCAACGTGATTTATTTCATACCAGTATACATCAATTAACCAATACGAAACAATGATAATTTTGAGACAATTCTTAATGGTGTATGTTGCTACACCTCATATCAGTGCAGCACATGACAGCTAGAGAGGTGGGAAGGAAGAACGTTGAAATTCCCTTATTGATGATATCTGAAAAAATGAACACACGAATTCTAGAATTTACCAGATATTCTAAATAGCATGGATACGAACCTGATATTACTCTAAATAGCTTGTAATAAGAACTACATGAATTGATACCATCGCTTAGTTTATCACCTTGTCTGCAAATCACTTCTGTCCCACTCAATATTAAATGTTGAAGTGGACTGTAATAATCTTTCACTAAGTGTGTACAAAATGTTTGTATTTTACATCAGACTTTGTTAAAAATTCATACCATTAATAAATAATTATCATTACTCAAGTGTGTGTAACAAAGACTAAAACTGAAGTTACTAAGGCAAACAATGAAATGTACTGGATATAACAGCATAGAGTTACATTTAAAATCCTATGCAGTAAGCATAGATAAAGAAACTGTCACATGTTAAATACTATTTTAAAGTTAGAACACACACACCTACGAGGTAAATATAATCTCGAGGTCAAGATAGGGTCTCCCATTAGTATTTCCTCTGGAATTTCCATATTTTCACTTTCCAAATTGTTTATACATTTTGTTATCAAATCCACATAGTCATCATTACGTTTCATTGATTCATAAACTTGTAAAACACCCAACAATGTTACCGATGTTCCTGGTGTGATAGATGAATTGGTAATTAAGTCTTTCATCTGAGCATATTGATCAATGAAGCTTCTGCCTAACTCATATTGTTTCAGGGCTTCTTCCAATTTTCCTTCATCTTTTAAATTCTTCCCATGAACTATGTGAAGCTGACCAGTCATCAATAAAGCATTTTCATATTCTCTACGATCCAAACTTACAGACATGATAGATGGTGACTCTAAAGCAGCGTTTGTTAAATCTCGATTGACTGACATAGTGTCTAGTGACTTTGACCCTAAAGATATGGCCAAGTGTAGGTCGCTTATTGCATGCTGGTAATCTAATAGCTTATGTAAATTTAATAATTGAGAAAGCAAAAACAAAACAATGTGGGAAACACTGGTTTTTAAACAGTTTTAATAATACATATGGCATTAAATACATCAAGACAGCTGATAGCTTCATATATTTTCATTACTATTGGCAGTGTTGTTTCAACAAGATCATAGAAACTCTACGCAGATGGCTCCTAACTGGTTGAGAGCCAAACAAATGCGATTAATAGCACAGAAAAAAATCAAGTTCATTGTGCGATAACACTTCTGGCGAAATACAATTAATTTTCCTATTTATGGGCATCAGAATCAAAAACCAGAAGTTGCGATTTAAATTCGATGCGATACAAAGTCAGTGCATTTAAAAAGAATAATATTATTGTAATAATAGTTTGTTTCAGTAACATAGATTATCCAATTGATCTATTGTAAACAATTCTGGATTCTACATGATCTTTTATTTAAAAATGTAGACAACGTCCTTATCTAAGACCATAAGTACCGGCTGTTTGTAAATCGAAAATGTATTATATGAAGACTGACGGAAAATGACAGTTCGAATTATCGTTTAGGCGTTAATCTCAATATAAATGTCAGAATATTTAAATCAAAATCGAAAGAACTGTCAAATAAACAACTCCTGCTTTACTATTTTTCATGTTCAGTAGTATTCTACCAAGTTTATTCTAAAAATTTTTATGCGGATATTGGAAGGACTAATGAAGTAAAACTATAGCTTACATGTTTTTATATCGGAACAATTATAAACGAAGATAAAAGTCTAATGTCCAACTTTTAAAGGGTAGTAAGACTATGGTGACATATATTCAGTGACTTTTGTAACAACAAAATAAAAACCACATTTTTTCTCTAATTTGTCACACTTTATTTGTAACCACAATTTTATTCAATATCTGTTGTTTTGCTGTATCACTTGTTGCAAGGACGATGATAATTGTTTCGATGACTGATATACGATTTTACTACCGCATTAGTTAAAAATATAGAACGCTATCTACGCCGTTTGTTTTTCTGTTTTATTGGCCACCGTTTCGATTGAAGACTATAATATTATTATAACATCACTATAGGCCTTCCGACTCTACGTTGGATTTTCGGCGCGGATTACTATTGTATAATACTATTGGACTCCGTCTTCCTCATTACGTCATTGGTGCAGTCACTTGCAGAGGAACACCTGTCAATCAAGTGAACTCAATTTGTGGTTGTTGTTCTCACGAAGCAGCTCACAAGTAACATTCATTCTATAGTAACTGTTATAGTCTGTTTGTTTAATATACCTTTTGTATTTCTAACTGTATTTTGTTACCTTTGGTTTTTACTAACAGACAGACATCTCGGGTTTTTACTATTAATTTTTTGGGTATATCATTATTAACCTATTGTATCAATATATTTTGTATAAGCTCCTTTTGTTTGGGAACCACCACAAGACATTGAGTTTCGCACATAAGGTACTTGAGACTGTACAACGAATGTCTCATAATAGAAGCATTCAAAATGTATTGTATATAACAGCGTTTAACTGTCTTATTAAAGGCAATATTTATTATTATTGTCATACTGGCGATCTATTATGTAAAAGAAAAAGCGTAGGAGGCGATTGACGGAAATGCTTGAGAATTGTAAAAATTCATCAACACTTTGAAAATATGTTAACGGCTTCACTTAAAAACTTGCTTTTTATTTTAATTAATGACCTGAACCACACAGGCTTGTCGTAGACTTTGCCTTGCCCCACTAGAATACTTAAAGCGCATTTCAGTTAAAGTCCTACTCGTGATTCGCGTAGGTGTTTACTGAAACGTTTGTTTCTTTGCCACTTGCTGATATCAAAAGTGTATTTGTGTTGTTTTGCAATGGATTTTGATGGAAATTTTACCTTTAAGTGTAGGCGCTGATTATCACTGGTTCTGTATACTGTACACTGAGAAGGATATTGCCATACAAAAGATTGCAGATCTGTCGTTTAGCTAAAAGAACACTGGGGATTCTGGCGACGACAGTGAAAATTATGCTAGTGAGGTGAACACGCACACGAGGACATACAACACATTGTTATCTGGGAATATATATATATCATTATTACAAACTCAATAAATATTTCAACTACAGGATAATTGAAATCATTAGAGACGAAACCATGGAGGACGAAGGATCATTTTTATATCGAATCAATACAAAATCTATTTTATCTGAACAACATGATACAACTTTCGCCGAGTCAAAGAGAAATGGATCCAAAAAGTCCGTAGCTGATCTCGTCCGTTCTGAAATGAAACCACAAAGTAAGCGTATTGGCCTATGACTTTGTTCCCCCCACATACATAAGACCCCTAGAAATTGAGATTTGGCGGTCGTTCTGAGCTTTCGATTGAGACTTTTATCGCATGTTCATAAACTACAAATGTTTGTCTCTTATTCCTCATTTAATCTTACTACATCAATAACATATTTTAAATCCTATATATGTGATGCATACAGTACCGTTAAATATAATTCTAAATCACAAACACTTGTATGAAAATATTTGTATACTCTTCTTTATTTCTGTTTTATTTTTTTCTTCAGTGTAACTTACGTTCACTTTTAGACATGACAGGACCTTTTAAATGTGGTGAATATTACCCAAAGGTTAGTGAAAATTGTGATCACTCGTATTTGTGATGAAACTTGGAATGGTTTCTTCATGACGTTTGTTGTGGTAAATAAATCCACAAAACAAATAGCTCTGTAAGTTTTCGATATTGGGTGCTGACCACGTTAGTTTTAATGGACTCACCTAGCTGAAGGCGCTCGGTTATGCATCCGCACCACATCACAAGTGGAAGCGTCGTACTCAACATCTACTCCAATCGCCAGCCAGATTAGGTCAGACAACCCCCTATATAATTATAATGTGTTTTGACATGCACTTACATGTTCTTCTTTTCTTTTACAGGACGGTGAAGTTCACTATTAACCAAAAATTTCATTGTACTTTTTTCATTTTTCACTGTATTTTACTTCATGATCCCTTATAGTAAGGAAAGACGACTAGACGCCGCTAAACCTAGCAACCTATCAGAAGAGTGTTTACCAACAACAAACACCTTGGGTTTAAACTTCTGGCTGTCCACGTCTTAGGGTCATCACTACTATACTAAGGGGAAGTGATCTGTAGCGGTAAATAAATCCACAAAATAAATAGCTTTGTAAGTTTTTGACATTGGGTGCTGACCACGTTAGTTTTAATGGACTCACCTAGTTGAAGGCTCTCGGTCATGCATCCGCACCAGATCACGAGTGGAAATGCCGTACTCAACATCTACTCCAATCGCCAGCCAGATTAGGTCAGACAACCCTCTATAATATGATAGCTGTTGAAACAGCGGCTTGCTAATATGTTGAGGCTAATGTCCTCAATATCTGACTCCAATAAATAATATCCCGTAAAACTGTGTATTTAAGGTAGGCTTAGTCTCTTAGTCGAATTACGGATTTACTCGAGATTATTCAGAAGCCTGAACACCAGTTGTAGAGATAATTTATTATTAATCAATAACAAAAATCCGCAAGCGTACAGTGAGCAAGCACACGGTGAAGCCAAGCAAAAATGACATGCATGGAAGATGGATGGGAAGCCAACTCCCTTTCAAACCAGGCATTACTCAATATTTATAGGCAGACAAAATAAACCACAGACATGTGATGAGTCATGGGACATGAAGTGTACACACATATACGCTCATCTAAAAACAATCAAGACTGACAAGCGAATAATTGACAAGGTCAAAATATGGCTCGAGTAGGATGAATAAAATAGGATGTCCGCAAGTTAGAATAAGGTGCATGGGCTTGCCATAATAACTGACACTAAATAGCTTATCAACTATATCTTTGAACCTCTTCACTTCTGTCTCTTGATTTCACCTGGTGGGTACGATTCATAAAAGAAGGTGTTACTGGTTAAATCGTTGTCAAACTCCGAATATCTTTGGCATCTTTAATCATTTCATCATGGTATACGGGGATGGCAGACATGATACCTTACATCTTTTAGCCAGTTTTAAGTAACTTGAGCAACATGAATTATAACAGCTTCATCAACAACAGTTAAGCACACACATTAATGTCCTGTTCGAGGCAATGTTTATTCTTGCTGTCATGATCATAAGTTCTCATTTAAATGAAAATGACCAGGAGGCCACTACTAACATTCTCTGTGATTAGGAAGTGAAAGTGATTGTAGGATAAAATGTCATTTACTTTAATTGAAGAACTGGATTACACATTCTTGTCATAAATTAACCTTTGTTTGTTTACCTGATGCACTCAAAACATGTTTCCATTAAAGTTGTATCTGTGATTCATGTAGCAGTTTACTGAACCTTTTGTTCCTTGGTCTCCTGCTTATATCAGAAGTAAATTATTGTTGTTTTGCAGTGGATGTTGATGAATCTTAAACAATTCAGTGTAGGCAACATAATCGTTTCTTTATTCTTATTCAAGAGTGATCTGTGATTAAAGCAGAAAAGGATTACAAAAAATATAAATCAAATGAACACACAAGGCAGAAAAACCGTTTTCATTGGTTCTGTATACTCTATTTTCTAAGAAAGCTATGACCAGTACAAAATATTGTAGACATGTCGTATGCCTAAAAACTTTCACAGGAAGAATGCTTGGGATTTTAGCGACGACTGTAAAAAGCATGCCAGCATGATAAACACACACATGAGAACATGTAACTTACTGTTATCTCGGGTTATATATATCATTAATATTCTAGGGTTAATGAATATTCCAACTGGAAGAAATTTGGAATCATCAAAGACGAAATAATATTTATACAACAAGCCTAGCATAAGAAGAAGTGGAGTACTGAGCATCTTAATTTACATTAGTCCCATATCAGTCCCATTGTAACTTTTTTAAAG